TGTTTTAGTTATTTGTGATTATTTGGATAGCTCGTTACTAGAGTGATCTTTTTTTAAGCGTGGAATGATATACCTTATTGTTGCTATTTGAGTGGGCTGCCGAGATATCTCCCGAAATAAAATGACCTTTCTCCGCTGCTTACAAATAATACTCATCATGAGGATTGATGGTAGGCGCACGGATGCGTATAGCAGATAACATAAGCACCGTGACTTGGCGATAGCTTTGTAATACAAATATGGCAGCATTGCTATCCGATACAAGGCCACAAGATGGTAATTGATCAAAACATGCTTCAGTATCTTCGAGTTTAATATCGTTGCCAATATCAAGCTGTAGTTTCCACAGCTTAGCATAAGATAAGGATATTATTTAGAAGCGTTTCGAGGAAAATATTCTTCTAAGAATATATAAATTTTGATCGGTTTAGTTTAATACTAAAAGTATTTTTAAGTTTGTGATTTATCTTATAAAGTATCAAAGCAGTATTATGTGGCTGGGAAATATTTATGAAAAAGACACTCATTTTCGAATATAATGAGATTATTTTATACCTTATTTTTTTGGCATTTAATTAGGTACTATTATTTCTTGTGAACGAGTGTGATAATAAATCGAAAAGAAACATTGCATTGTCGTTCTTGAGAAAAAAATTGAGAGATTTTAGATATGACTCTCCCTTACATTATTATAATGATAAATAACAAGGAAAGATAAAAACTTTTTCATTATTAACCAAAATTTACTAACCTATATCAACTACCAACTGATACTGCTACTCATCTTTAAAATCGTATTCAACTCAACGCTTAGAGATCTCCACTCAGTACGTTAAAAGAAAGAGAATTTCCATCAGCTTTACAAATAAAATTCATACAAAAATCAGCTTTATACGTTTCTATCACATAATTTATTCGTTCACGATCCCAATTTGTATTCGTCCCGAAGCAAACATTACTTGTCTAGTATCTGAACTTAATTAGAGGCGGGCTTAATACACTCGTTCATAAATAACAGACCACTTTGACGGACAAGATCAGAATTCCGTTGTCTAGGAACGTCTCTCAGGGACAATAGGTTTGTAAAGTCACTAGGATTATCTGTTGTTCCCCTATTTCAGTCGCAATCAAGTTTTCGGGAGGTTCGACCTAGATAATAGTGTTTGGCAATGTGACTAGATTATACAAGATGTATTGCGCAGAACGTCAAACTGTTAAGTGATTTATTTTATCAGTTTTGCGCGCTATAAGTTTGTAATATGATGTCATTTCGTGTGGTATAACATATATTTTGATATGGATAAGCTAATTTTCATAAGGACTTCAAGTCAAACATAGTACCTACGTTTTCTACTAGTGTTCCGAATCGGGAATACAACTATTTATCAACGAAAGTAGTAAAACGTTAAATAAAAATATTGTCTCTCTCTCTGTCATAAATTAGAACAGCAATTAAAAGAACAATTTCCATTTCAAATTTCGAATAAAAACATGGCCGTTTCATATCGATACATTCGACGAAAGATTCATTTCGTCGGCGTTCCTCACTGTAAACTATTCGAGTGCGAAATCGCCCGGAAATCGACGCTGAACGTGAAAAATGTGGCGGCCGAAGCAATAGCCCCACTTCCTGTTGTTTTTAAAACTTATATCTTATGGTTCGTTCGTGACCACATTTTTCTTACAAATAAAGTGTAGGTAGTATAACGGTACACTATGTCCTAGTTTCCGTCAATTAAGTTATAGACTTGATAAATTGCAATATTCGTTTTAAACTTTTATAAAGTTATAAGTATTATTTAGTACGTATTTAACACCTATTATTATACGCATTTTGCTTATTAGCTGACCTCTATGTAAAGGCTTTTCAACTTCGAAGAGTCTATCCTTTTTTCTTGGGAAGCGAGAGGTAATGTCTTTCTCTTACTGACTAAAAAGTGACTTCGTTCCTATTTTTGTATGTGACGTTGTGGAAAACGAGAGGTTATCAGATGGTAAGAAATTGGCGCCTCCCATTGAAACCTATTGATTCAGAAAAGTGCGTTGTTGGCTTTTTCGAATCTTCTGGGATATAAAAGGGAAAGCCAAGCTTCGGCACGAATGGGCGGCTCAATCAGAGTGATACCACGACCTTACAGAAAACCAGCGTGAAGCAACACTTACAATGTGTTTCGCCGTTTGAGGGAGGTTACTGGAGGCCCTCCCATCCTCTATTCTCAAACACCTATCTTACGGATAGGAAATTTGATATCCCTAACAATCACAAGAAGCCGGCAACGCACTTTTAGTAACTCTTTTGGTATTACGAGTGTCCATGGGCAGCGCCGATTGCTTACCATCAGGTAGTTCGTCAGATGGTTTGTCGATTGATTTAAAGATTGGGCAGCGGCAATCGGCGGCGAAACAGCGGGAGGGATTTGGTGTTCGCTCACCCCGTTCATGCTTGTTTTCTTTGAGGCAGTTGTATCATTTTGTGCCAAAGCATGGCTTTGCCGTTCCTTTCTTCTTGTCTTCTCAAAAGCAAAAGCGCCACACGAAACTTAATAAAAAGTTATGTAACGTAAGTATTACATATTTATCTTTAGCTAGTTTTTTAGTAGTAATAACAAACTTATCATTTACAATTATTATATAAAAACTTCAAAAAGAGTTTACTAACAACTGTTTATAAATAAGTAAATAAAAGAAGCGTATCCCAGTAGATTATATTATCTCAATTTGTGAAAGCTAATGTACGTTTTGTGTTCCAAAGTAGCCGGATGAATATTGTGGCTGGGTTTGCCTTGTTGCCCCTTTTGTTGCACAATAAACTCGGGATTGTTTAGGGCTTAGCTTTGTACCGTTTTCAAGTTGTTCCGTGAATCGCTCTTTCCTTAATGTAGATAATAAATGTTTAATCTACCGGCAATTTTGGTATGTCGTACTAGTAATAATTGTTCTGTTTTTTCTGTGCTTTTAAATTATTTCAAATTATTTGGCATCCAAAAAGTTTATATTTGGAACCATTTCACCATGGAAAAATACTTCATGGTCCAATGATTCCAAATTTTTAGTTTTGTATTTTTACTATAGTATTTAAATGTCCCTTCTTTAGTTTGAACATGAATTTAAACCTTTTAATGGGATGAGTCGACAAACGAACTGGCATGGCACTTGGTACTGGGCAATGCGTGTTCAATGGACCGATTGAAATGGCGATTCCAGGGATGAGAAAAATTGGGGATTTGGGAATGTAGGGTATACGGGTGGGGAATGGGAGAAGGACTGCGCCTCCTATAACATTGATAACACGACGAAACACAATGTAAACATTTTTTCACTTCGATTTTCTGTGTGACCTTGTTACCTCCTTAACTTGGAATTATTACTGTGTTTCGTACTTATATATAGTGATACTTAACTAAGGTTTTTGACAGCACCTATGGAAACTTATTATTATCACTTATTTAGCATATAACAACAAATAATATATGTAAAACATACCATTGATATCAACGATTTCAATTCCGTTAGATTGCTATACCAATCAAATTGAATTCATCCATACGGCTGTCAAACCATACCCTTTCAAAACAAAATCAATTCAAAGAAACAAAAAAACAAACAAACTGAAAGAAAATCAAGTTAATATCGTTACGCCAACGATATATTATGTACAGTCGACAACACACGGGCGTGGAGCCATTTCATTAGCTCCTTCCGGATCCCCTGCAGATTACACAAAGAGAGACGAATAAAAAACATATTTTTCACCTTACCCACTTATCTTTGCTGGGTGTTACGTATCGTTGCGAATTAGTTGATAATACATATAGCGTTCAACGTTATATTACCAGTCCTTGTTTATTTATTGGTTTTTTTCTGCTTTATGCTTACTTCCCCTTCGTCTTTTGTAAGAGTAAAATGAGGATTAAAAGTGACAGATTGAATGTAAGACGGAATGTGAAAAGATTTCGAAATTTAAATGGTTGTGGTGACGTAGAAAGAAAGATTGTGATTGGTGACACGGTGTGAATTAAATTTGTTTTGAATAAGCTAAGAGTAGTGTTGATGATGATACTAGGCAAACGTAGTGTAGGGCGCCCTCCAGCTAGGTGGACTGACGACATCTGCAGGGTGTGACAGGGCAGTGGTTGGATGAGAAGAGCTGAACATCGAGCTCAGTGGCGTGCAATTGGGGAGGCCTATGTCCAGCAGTGGACGACAACAGGCTGATGATGGATGATGGAGTGTTGATGATCTGTCAAAAACAACTTGTTATCTATCTATACTAGTATCATAAAGAGGTATTTATAAGTTTTTATATAGGGGATAATCCTTGGCTGGATGGATTTCCAAAACTCTTTCACTGATGGATAGCTACAATGTTCCTGGCTATACATTATACATTATATGCTGCAGTTTTTATATAGTCACAAATAAAACTATTAAACTGTCTATAAACAACTAAAATTTCATAGATAAATTTTATTTGTAACTAAGATTTTTTATTAGCTAATTTAAGAGAAATAGGTATTACATTTGATGTCATAATCTCATAGAATATTCATAGACAAGAATTAACATTGAAAATTCCTATTATTTTATATTCTTTTGTATTTTTTATTTTAAGCTGAGATTAGCGTACTTTTTAGCATATTAAGTAAAATTAATATTACATTACACGTCAAAAAATTAATATCACAATTTATTAATATCATAGAAATTTCATAGAAAAGTATTGTTGTTATTGACATTTAGAAAAAAAAAACGATTATTTTAGGTTTCGTTTGTATATTAAAATTTTATTTTAAGCTGGGATTAAGTTTTTTTTTGTATTTCAATACAAATATATTTGATGTCACAATTTAATATTCTAATAAATAATTCATAGAAAAATATTGTTATTGACATAAAATATACTAACTAACTAGTGATAATTGTCATCATCCAAATTGTTTTGTATTCGTTTGGGTATTTTTAGTAGTAGTATCGAGTATTGGGTTAGTCTCTCTTTGAAGGGGAAAACTCATCAAATGGGTCAGTAGTCTTAGGTGCGATGACTCTTCCGTGCCCCGTGGTGGACTCTTACTGACTAAACTCCTCGTTCCTGCTCCTGCGCTGCGGCCAAGCGAGGCATACTGCGCTAGCACCCGCGACCTCGACTGGACATCAGCACATGAGGGGTTCACACCTAGACCCTCAGCCGGGGTTGCGGGGTAAGCGCAATGAGGTACCGCACCTCGGCACAGAGCAGGAGAAGGAACAGGGGGGTTTTTAGTCAGTAAGAGTCTGACACTCCCTCCTGCCCGGCCTTGGGCGGGAGAAGTCATTTGATGATTTTCCCCTCACAAAAAAAAAAACACCTAGACCCTAAACAAAAATGTATGACGTATGTATCATACAAATAGTTGCTTTGTGCCAGCGAGAGATTTATCACCAAAATAATAACTTCAAAATATTTCACACTAACATATTCTCTACAGCGAGATCAAGTTAATGAAACTTAGATACAGTTCTGCCGTTCTGCACAGTCTTAATCCACAAAGGTACGTGACACAAAACTGTTTTAAACGTTAGTCAAGCAAGTCTTAAAGTTCAATCAATAATGCAGCCATTGCTAACTTGTTTCTACTTGGCTTTAGTTATTCGTAAGGTGATGTGGTAACACGATTAGTGTAATTTCACACTTGAATCTATTGATTTTGTGGATATTTTTTAGTGTAGTGTTGTGTATATGGTAGGTAGTTATGTATTTACAACTTATAACAATGGTTTTGTGCATGCAGAGTTTACTTTTAAGTCATTGTTACACGCTACTATATTTCATTTGATTAAAAACTAGTGTACACAATTGTTGGTGAACCAATAAAAAATTATTATAATACATTAAATTAAATTAACAATAAATTATAATACCAGTTATTCCAAACTATAACCTATCTTTGTACCATAGGCATCTCCTCCTTCTGCGAAGCAGTTATGCTCGCAAAGGAGGAGGCGGAGCGCGTGATGTTACTATCCTTCTCGCGCCCCAGCCGCCGCAGAAGGCGACATTCCGGACGTCGGGGATCGAGAGATGATCTCCGGCCACCGTAAGCGCGGGTCTGCGGACGGCGAGTAACGGTAGCTCGCGGCCCGACCAGAACCGAACCCGAGCGTACGGCGCGTAGCGTTCCGCGCGCGCCTCATAGAGCCAATAGACCACCACAGTCGGGGCCCAATAGGGCTGATATTTAGCCGAGGCTGCGGGGTAAGCTCAACGAGGCACGGCGACCTCAGCTCAGAGCAGGAGAAGGAACGGGGTGTTTTTAGTCAGTAAGAGTCTGACACTCTCTCTCGCCTTACCCTGGGCGGGAGAAGTCATTGGATGATTTTCCCCTGACAAAAAAAAGATTCGTCGGATAGTTTTCACGTGAACCCTTACTACTTACGTCTACCCATTCATCCATACTTACAAACTAAGTAGTATTTAGGCAAGTTATTTTTTTTTTTTAATGTAATAAGTCGGCAAACGAGCAGACGGATTACCTGATGGTAAGCAATCAACGCCGCCCATGGACACCCGCAACGGAGGAGTTACGAGTGCGTTGCCGACCTTTTAGGAATTAGGGATTTGGAGATTTAGGGATTGGGGAAGGGTCCGGGAAGGGGAAGGATTGGGCCTCCGGTAACCTCACTCACACGGCGAAACACAACGCTGTGGTTGTTTCACGCCGGTTTTCTGTGAGGAAGTTATTTAATGGCAATATATTTTATTTAGTTTTACAGTGTTTGGACTGCGAGAAGCTTAAATGAAATGAAAATGAAATAAGACTACTACTATCGTATTAAAATAAATATACAAGAAATGTTAAAAACTTCTTCGTCAGAACAGTATAATATTATATGTAGATAAGAATCAAGTCAGTCTAGACTTCGCGTTTAGATTACTTTAGATGTGTCGTATCATAGTTTAGATCATAACACTGAACTTTGACCACGGGTAGTCATAGATTATACACCGCTCGCTCTTGCGAAACGATGTGCGATTCTTCTGCAATACGATAGTTTCCAACAAGTCAAATTCAATACTTTTATCTAAATGTCAAAAACTATACTTTTCTATGAAATTTGTATGAAAAACTGAGACATCATAATTTTTTGCATCCAATAGTTTTTTTTATTTCTTATGAATTGTTTTTGAAATTTGCTAAAAAATAAAATATAAATATATCGATTATAAAATTCAATGTATCGATCGATCGTTGAATATAAGTATAGTTATTTTTCAATATTTTATTATACTGAAACGTCGAATTAATTTATTTTTTACCCAGGAAACTACCCAAATTGTTCGCAAATAAATAATTGACATGAGTTGACATGTCAATGATATCATAACCGAAATGAATAGAAAGATACATATCACGTTCTCTTTTTAAATGGTATTATATTTCTTTTAATTAACTAGATTAAAAAAAATCAGAAACGACATAGTGGTTTCTTCTAAATTCAAACCTTTTTTATTGTATGCCATGACATTTCCAATAAAAAAATTACACGTTACTGATGTCGCGCCATAATGACAAGGACAGAAATACGTCTTATTCCTTTTTTGAATTTACTAAGCTATTTTTTCCAATCGAATAAAATTACACAGATGCTTTCCGTTGCAAGTATTGAATTTGTAGTATGTAGGTGCACCAACATAAGTGTTCGATATCACGGACTATATATTTTTATTTCCTACGTTTAAACGATATGACGCTTTGGTTTCCAACAGAAAAGTTGAACAGGATTCCTTGGAAGACATCGAAGTCAAGAAAGTCTAATAAATTTTATGGCAACAAGGAAATCGGGAGTGAAGAGTAAGATAAAATTTTACAACGGACTAATGCCGACTTTAATACATTTTTTTATTGCCGATTCATGGTTCTTGAGTTGTAAAGGATTTTTAGTTTAACTTCTTCTGTAATCTTGTACAACGTGTTTTGTTTTAAACAGTGGTTGAGATTCACTTTTCCTTTGAATAATTTTAGACTACCTACCTCCCTTGTTTACTTAGTGGGAAACCGAAGTTGTGACACAATGTATAGCAGCCTATATCCATGTTGTAATGAATAATGATCAATCTCATAGGAGAAATTCATCTCTGGCTTATTTTATCTTTGCTTAGATTCTTGAATGTACATACAATAACAACAGTCCACATCCATTGCTGAACTATAATCCACTCGACATAAAAATATTGTTATCATCTCCATATATGGATATGGAGATGAAGTTTAAAGTCTCTGATTTTTTGATACCTACAAAAAGATAAGAAGAGATTATATAATGATATTATCGTGCTTTTTATTTACCTTATAAGGAATTAAAAGCATGATGTTTATATGTATGTAGGTAAGTTTAATAATAAGGAAGTAATGTAAACGAGGTCAATTGAAGGCGTCCCACATTTAAGGATCCTTTTATACGAACGTTAATGTTACGTTTTAATTTATTTAATCGTATTGAGTTCGAGTTACTAAGGGTTAGCGGTTTAAACGAACTTCGAGTTTTCGAGAAAACATCGCCTTTGATGGTTGCTAATGCGTGTGTGAGTAATGTGTGTAGAAACATGTTGTGTCTGCAGAGGGCGCTGCAATCGCGTTTGGCATGAAACATAAGTGAAGTAATTGAAATTTATAGCTTTTACCTGTGGGGGTAATGCTCTTACAAATTATTAAGAATGCACCTCATTCTTATATGACGTTATGAAGCTAGTTACGGTTTGTTTTTATTGTTTAGTTATGACTACTATGGTTTCTAAGAAGTCTTAGGTTAGTTTGCCAGTATAGATCAATTTGTAATAAAACAAACTTCTAACATATTTTAAGTATGCTTTATTTTGTCTAAGTATTTTATATATACTTTATTAATAAGTTATTGGTTCATATTTTCGAGAAGAAAAGCATTATTTACAAGAGTTATTTAATACACTCAACTAAAAGCTATAAATTTTCTATAATAATAAAACCCATAACTCATTCCAAACTCGATTGTGGCGCCGCCTACAATTACAGTATTTGTGACATTAAAGATTTTAAACATGCGTTTCCAAAAGAATAGAAGCTAAGCTATGATTTTTCACAACAAAACTAGGTAGTTAGCTATATCATATCTAGCAATGTGATATGGAAGGACTAAGTGCCAATATTTTACGACATTCATATTCAGGCCACGGTTGCGAACAGATCAAGAGCAAAACTAGTAATATCGAGGATCACAAGTGGTAGGTCCTTGGGGAGAGACTAACTATAAATGTCACAACGCAACCCCTGCAGCTTGTTGAAACGTTTTATGGACTATAAATCGAAACGCAGAACCCGGTTAAGTCCCCAGCTTGGTCAGATGTTGAAATGTTTTATTCTCGACATTATAAGGGTGAAACCTTTCCAGTAACAAATTATACAATTTATTGAATCCTTAATTCACGCGCTTAATGAAGAGGCGGCTTTATGTTATAGAGTTGGTTTGTTTCTTTATTGCGGCTCTGGATGGTATTTCTGTGTTAATGAAGACTGCTTATTAGGTTTAATGGTCGCGTGTATAATTGCTGAACATTATCTGGGTTTGGTGCATGAATGGGAGGATTATATCATTTATAATTTCGAAATTGAAATTTTTCCTCTTTTTTGTAACTACTGGGCACAGTTTTTGAAATACTTTAATCAAAATAGTACTAATAATATATAGATAGAATTTTTACTCCAAACCACTAACAACCTAAACGTGGATATTTTTAACGACGAATAAACAACTATTCAGTTTTGGTTTTCCAATCCATTTAGTTTATTTGTATCTATTTCACGTAAAAAGCACTGAATGGATTTTGATAAAAACCTAGATACAGTTGCAATATTTATATGCATTTTACAGTTGTTTTTACTTTAGATGCAATAGCGCGGTACGGTCGGATAGGAGAAGGGGAAGACGGGTTAAGCCCCCGGTAACTTCAAGGCGGAACACGACACTGTGATTTTTTCAGGACGGGTTTTTGTAAGGCATGTATCATTCGGGTCGAGCCGACTCATTCGTACCAAAGCTGATGATGATGTGCTTTAAATACCTAAACAAGTAAACTAGTATAAATGAGGTCAGAAATAATACCGTACTCAAAACAAAGGGACGCGCGACGTCGTCATTTTGACGAAACGATCCATTAAAGGCTCAGAATCTTATAGTGTCTACAATTCCAATATTCTAACCTATAATTTATAAATCTATGTCTATGTATTATATAACTCACTAAGTAAACTGTTTGTTGAACAGTTGATTTAACACAAAATAATATGAATTAGTTTCTGTGAACTATTAATAGAAATGTCTGACTATGGTAGTAATTTCGTATCTAGTTAAGCACGATACATTTTGATTTCGAAGGTATATTTAAATAGGTAGGACATGGCTAGGGATCTACGAGTAGTGGCTTCGAGATTTATAACCGTATCAAGTTCTTCTTAGATACCCAAATTACCACTTCATACTCATTGGTAGGTATGTTAGTTACCTAAATTATTTCATTCTAGTCTGAAAAACTAGTTCTTGGTAGAGACATGCTCTAATTTCTTTACTCCCTCCTACATTCAGGTACGATTGTAGGCCAAGAATTTTTACATTATCATCCCTTACGAAGGTCAAGAGTTATTTATAACAACGAAACCTTTGCCAAACAGACCGGCTATAATTTCCTAGTATTCTAATACACTTGGATAGGGTTCAAAGGTTAGGATAAGGAATTTAAATAAGAAGAAATTAATTTACCCAAACTAGGCAAGATCCCTGAGTTATTTCATCATGCTTTTTCATAAGAACTGGCTATTTGATAGCCTTCATTCAATTAGCTTTGATATATAAATTAAGTAATGAAATTTGAAACATGTTGCAAATAAAGGTTGTTTGGCGGATATAAAAAAATGGTAGATGTGACAGAAGGCCTTTATATAGGCATCTGTCTTACTCATCCTTATGATCGAAAAGTGTGAATTTTAATTTAATGAAACATTCAATTTTAAACATAACTTTATTTGCGTAGTTTTATCTACGGCTCTGTGATGCA